TGGCACGTGCAACAACACAAGAGAGCCACTCAGGTGGGGTGCCACTGAGTGGAAGAAGCTGAAGGCCACACAGCACAGGATTCTACTGAACTGAAGTTTTGGGAGCGGGCAGCTGCATAGCAACAGGAGCATCAGCCATTGCCAGGGCAGAGAGAGGCTTATGGGTACAGCGTTTCCTTTTCAGGAAGGGGAGGGAGAATGTTCTGGAACTTCACGGAGTGATGGGAATTTACTAGACCACACAACTGGATAATTTAAAGGGATTAAACCTACCAACAATACCTTGCTAAGTAGACAGCTAGGGGAGACCTGGGGGTGTGGCCAGGGAGGTGACCGAACATAGGGATGCTTTGGGGCAGGATCAGGGTTGATGGCAGACAGACGCTATACTGGGTGGCCAAGGGAGGCAGAAGCAAGCCCTCACTGCTGCTGTGGAGATCTGAGGTTGGAGGGGCAGGGCTGGGGCCTGCACGGTGGCAGATTGTGGGGCTGGGAGTTGTCCCCACATTTCTTCCCAAGATTGCATAATTTACATTGCACCAGTGCTTGGGAGGCTGAAGCAGGAGGATCACTATAATTTCAAGACCAGCCTGGGCTACCTAGAGAGACCCTGTCTCAGAAAACCAAAAGAGATTAAAAAAGAAAAGCTGGGCGTGGTGGTGCACGCCTGTAATCTCAGCACTCAGGAGGCTGAGGCAGGAGGATCACTGTGAGTTCGAGACCAGCCTGGGCTACACAGTGAGTTCCAGGTCAGTCTCAACTACATAGTGAGACCCTGTCTCAAAAATCAAAAATAGAAAGGAAGAAAAATCAAAACTCATGCCTGAGGTCACAAAGTCTCAACAAATAGAAAAACAATTGGTGCCATACAGTCCTTGTTCTTGAGCTGCAGTAGAATAAAATAAGTCACACTGGGTGTGGGGCACACGCCTGTCATCCCAGCACTCAGAAGGCTGAGGCAGAAGGATCACCACAAGTTCGCAGCCAGGGCTACATAGCCAGACCCTGTCTCAAAAAAGAAATCAGAAATCAATAATGAAACTAAAATGAAGTCCTCCATATTTGCACGTTTTATTTATTTATTTATTTGGGATGCTGGGGACGGAACCCAGCACCTTCTGTGTGCCAGCCAAGCACTGTGCCACTGAACTCCAGCCCCTGCTCTGCACTCTTCTTTTCTTTGAGGCAGAGGTCTCTTTAGGCAAGCTCTCTAGCACTGAGCTACATCCCCAGCACTTTGAAGGCCTCTCTATGCTGCCCAGGCTGCCCTTGAACTTGCCATCCTCCTGCCTCAGCCCCCTGAGTAGCTAGGGTTGCAGGCACATGCCAGAACACCCAACAATCCTAGAATTTTAAATTGAAAACCACACTTCCAGATAATCCATTGGTCCAGGAGGAATTAGAGGTAAATCTAAACACACTTAGAACTAGCCCACAAGGAAAAAGTGGGGCTGGAGCCCAAGGGAGGACATTCACGGCTGCCACAGTTACCCTGGTGTCCCTCACAGACATGTGACGAGAGTACAGTCCCTGCCTGCCAAGGGGGTCATGGGACCCTCGTCTCTTTGCCTTTCTTGGTGGTGGTGGTGGTCTTCTGAGACAAAAGTCTCACTACGGTGCCCAGGCTGTTCTTGAACTTGCACAATCCTGCCTCAGCCTCCCGAGGACTGGGATAACAGGCATGTGCCACCACACCTGATCCTTTTTCCTTTTTGGATTCCCACCCCTGAGGCAAGCACTTTCACTCTTCCACACTTGTCCCGGAGCAATGGGGCTGCCTCCTTGCTGACGGGAGCTTTCCCAGAGTGGAAAGAAACCTGTGTTCAGAAGGTGACTGTGCTAGGCTCCATGTCACAGCCAGCTCAGCAAGTGCTCCTCATCCCCTAAAGACAGCAGGAGTCCCTGGCCTGGGGCACATGCTTGTCATCCCAGCCCTCTGGGAGGTTGAAGCAGGAGGATCCCGACTTTGAGTCCAGCCTGGGCAATTTAATGACAGCAAGACCCTTCTCAAAATTAAAAAATGGGGGCCGGGGATTTAGCTCAGTGGTCCCACTGCCTGCCTGGCAAGTGCAAGGACCCAAGTTCGATCCCCAGTACCAAAACAAAATAGAAGAGGATGTAGCTCAGTGCAAAGGTCCTAGGTTCAGACTCCAGTGCGAAAAAAGAAAAACGAAGTAGAAGAAAGCAAGACAGCAGAAATTACTTACATGGAAAGAGACGTCAATGGCACCATAAGTTTCTTTGAAAGTATAGTAGCACAATAGATGACTCCAGCAAGAATGAAAGAAGAAATCTACTTATGATGGTACAGCAATTGGGAGGCTGAGGCAAGAGGATCCCATGAGTTCCAGGCCAGCCTGGCTCCACAGTGAGTTCGAGGCCAGCCTGCAGTATATAGCCAGATATTGTCTCTAAAAACAAATAATATTCATTATGCATATGTAAGTAACATGATTAAGAAATTGTACATAACTGTGCTACTTCTCAAGTGGTCAGGGAAGCTAGGTGTGGTGGCAAAGCCTGTAATCCCAGCCTTGAGGCAGGAGGACCAGCATGAGCTCAAGAACAGCCTGAGTTACATAGCGAGACTCTGTCTCAAAAACCCAAAAAGTAAAAATAAGAAAGGAAAAAAAATACAAATCAATGACACTAGGAGGGAAGTGGAGCCCAGAAGGGGAGGGCAGCGGCCACACGAGCTGGGAAGAGCCCAGGGCCATGACACCAAGCCGCACCAGCCCTGTCTTTACTCTCTACATTCACACAGGGTCTTTAGGCTGCCCGGGCTGGGCTGGAACTTGTGGCCCTCCCACCTCAGCCTCCCAGAGTGCTGGGATTGCTGGCGTGTGCCACCACACCTACCTCAGACTTTCTCTTGTGAGAGCTCTCAGTGGCTGGAGAGGACTTTGACAGAAAACTACTTTCCCGAGGGCTGGCAGCAGCTGGATGGAGATGGCCTTGTATTTATCTGGCGTGCTCCGTGCATTTCTCAGCAGTGCTGTTGCATTCATCCGGGACATTAGAGCATCATGCCACAGAAATGCCTCTGCTTCACTGGCCCCGATTCCACTGGGTCCCTTGTTTGGGCTGGGGCCAGCTCCGTGTCCACTGGGCCAGCATAGGGACCAAACCCACACCACCTTCCCCTTTTACGTACCTAGCCTAGGTGCCTTGGGCCACCAAGAATTGTGGCCTTACTCTATGAGACAGGCTGTGTTCTTAGCCTTTCAATTTTGAAAACAGGCCAGGCGTGGTAGTGAGCACCTGTAATCCCAGCACTCTGGAGGCTGAGGCAGGAGGATCGCTGTGAGTTCGAGACCAGCCTGGCCTACGTAGTGAGTTCCAGGTCAGTCTCAACTACATAGTGAGTCCCTGTCTCAAAACCACCCCCCAAAAAGACAAACAAACAAACAAAAAGTGCAAATAGAGGGCCAGGGATTTATTTCAGTAGCACCATGCCCACCTTGCAAGTGCAAGGCCTTCAGTTCCAATGCAAGTGCAAAGAAAAAGTGTAAATAGACTTAGCGATATAATCCAGTGATCCCGCCTGTGGTGCGTACCCCAGACAATTGAAAGCAGGACATGGGCACATCTGTGATGACAGAAACCCTCTTCCCAGTTGGAGAGGCAGAAGCAACCCACATACATGTCCACTCTCAAATGAGAGGGTAAGCCAGGGTGCTGTACAAACACGGGGTAGTAGTATTCAGCCTTGAAAAGGAGTAGATCCCAGCCATGTGGTTGAGCCTGGAGGACAAGCGGCCAGGTGAGGCAGACACAGTGGGAATATTGGATGCTTTCACTTCGAAGGGGCAGAGAAGACAGCGGGCTTCACCGCAGCTGAGTACAAGGGAGAGAGGAGCTGTTTGGGGGCGTGCAGAGTTTCCTGTCTGCCTACTGGAAATTTCAACAGATCTGTTTCACAGCAGCAACCTCCCACTACGGAAGCCTGGAGGTAGGCCAGTGAAGATGGTCGTTTTTCTGTGTGTTTGGCTTTCCAGTCCTGGGCAATGGACCCGGGTCCTTCACACTGAGCTCCACTTGAAGAGCTCCATTTGATGAGCTCCATTTGAAGACAGGGTCTTGCAATCTTCTTGCCTTAGCCTCCTGCAGTGCTGTGTGTATAGGCATGCACCACCGAGCCAAGCTTGTTCTCTGTTTCTTACTGTGATAAAAATCGATCTGAAGGCAGGCGTGGTGGCGCACGCTTATAGTCCCAGCACTCGCGAGACTGAGGCAGGAAGATCGCTAAGTGTTCCACATGAGATCTGAAAACCAACCAGAACACTCCTATAATTATTAGAGAACTTGGATAAACAGTTTTAAACTCACAGCAGGAGGGGCAGGCAGTGACAGAAACAGGGACGGCTGATAGCCACGCCCCATCTTCTGCACCACAGACAGCCACATGCTTTCCAGGCAGCCCAGAGACTCGCTATGGAAACGTGGGAGATGTGCCAAACAGGGACAGCAGAAAACCTTTCGCATATTGGACAGGAAAAGAATTCTTTTTTTAATTTTGATTTTTATTAGTATGTGTTTGCAGTGTGTGATGATTACATTCATGATGAGAAGATAGGGAGATTACACATCTTGATTCTTCTTACCTCCTTGTCCAGGAGTTATTTTTTTTGTTGTGTGTGGGGTTTTTTTTTTTTTATGGTTTTTTGAGGCAAGTTCTCACCGTGTAGTCCAGGATGTCCTAGAACTCACTATTATAGCCCAGACTGGCCTCATATTCATAGCGATCCTCCTGCCTCAGCCTCCTGAGTGTCAAGATGACAGCCATGGGCCATCACGCCCTGCTTCTTCCAGGGATTCTTAGGACAAAAATGAGCAACCATCAGAGAAAAGACTGATAGATACTATTATATTAAAATAAAGGGCTGGGCATTTGGCTCAATGGTTCCACTGCCTGCCTCGAAAGCACAAGGGCCCAAGTTAGATCCCCAGTTCCAAAAATTAAAATAAAATAAAATAAAGCCCTCTCTTCATCGAATGATACCAAGAACAACGTGAGAAAACCAAACAGGCCTTTCCTAGAAAAAAGAGAAAAGCAAAGCCCAGCAAGGTGCCATCCCACTGTGTGGGCAGAAGTACCAAGCCTGTGGCCAGTGTCCAGGCCTCCCACACAGCAAGGAGACAGCCAGGCAAGAGTGGCCAACAGCTGGCCCAAGGTGCAAGGTGGCCACACCTGCCCGGTATGTGAGGGAGGGGACTGAGCCATCCACAGGGTCCACATGGCTGGATTCTACTTGTATAAGTGTTCAATAGCACTCAAGAGGCTGAGGCAGGAGGATTGCCTCAAGTTTGAGGCCAGCCTGGGCTTGAAGGATGGTATCATTTGTGGGCAGATTTGCTTCCTTCTGTAGAGGTGACCAGAAACAGTAGCAATGCCATCTCGAAGATTTCTGGCTTCCCATGTGTGTTGATGATACAGGAAATAATACCAGAGATGAACTATGCTGTTTTGTTTGGTTTTGGTTTTGGTTTTTTGAGACAGGGTCTCACTGTGTAGTTGAGACTGACCTGGAGCTCACTATGTAGCCCAGGCTGGTCTCGAATTCACAGTGATCCTCCTGCCTCAAACTCCCGAGTGTTGGGATTACAGGCCTGCGCCACCACGCCGGGCTTGAAATATGAAATATTATGTCTCCCAAATGGTTAACTGTCTGACACACCGAGTCCTTGTTTTCTAAAAATTGAAGATTTGTTGCTAGGAAAGCTCCTCAGGGGCAGGAGGGGTCCCAAGTGGGTAGCGGGGTGCCCCACGGTACAGAGGAGTTTTACAGGGTGAAACCCACTTGGGTACAATGTGGGCCACAGCCGTGAACATCCAGTAAGGTTACAAGTACAGTCCCTTAGGTAACAGTGGTCCGATTGGGAAGCAAGTCATATAAGAAGCGTGGATGGGAAGAACGTGGGTTCTCCGAGGAGGCGGAGGGTCCAGAGGTCTCTGGTCACCACTGGGGTGGCCGATGTCTGTCTGGACTTCAGTAGGCCCAGTGCTTGTGCTCGGAGCAAGTGTGCACGTCTGGCCATCTTGTCTTTGCCTTGAGGCCTGGATTTTAGCTGACGCATCTCTGGTCGCAGCTGCGGTGTGTGTCACTTTTGCCCTGACCCTCTCGAGGGCCCAGCCCTGTCTGACTGCCTGTGCTATTTCTACCTAACTCAGCTGTCTATAATATTGGGGTGATGGGGGCACGGGAGACAAGGAGAGGCCGGGGCTAGGGGGCTGCCTGAGGGGGCAGCACTTCCAGTCCAGCTGTGTGAGCCCTTGCCCCTCCTGGGGCTCCAGATGCCAATGTGGCCTCTGTTTAGCTACCTGGGCTCCCCCTGCCTGCACACACCAGAAGGGGGCACCCGAGACAGCGGCCATAGCCCAGCCCACCATAGAGCACTCTAGGTGCACAACCTTGGACAAGAGACTGGGGAAAGTCATCTACTTCTGCGCCCTGCCTTTTTTCCTTTCCTTCCTCTTCCTCCCTCCCTTCTTCGCTTTTTTCCCTCTCCCCGTGTGCAGTACTGGGGATTGAACCCGAAGCCTTTGCACTACGCTACATCCCCAGCCCTTTATTTTATTTTTATTCAGGCTGGACTTGAGCTTGCAATTCTCCTGCCTCAGCCTCCCAAGTACCTAGGATGACAGGCGCGTGCCTCCTCACTTGATTCAATACCCCATTTCTTCTCTGAGTACATCACAAAGAGCCTGGCATTGGGTGGCTACGTACTTAGCTGCTGAGGCACTGACCGCTGCGTCCCCATACTTTGAAATTATGCAAGTCTCTATTGTCCTTTTTTTTTTTTTTTGGCTCTCGCTGCCCCCTTTTCTAGGCAGCTGGAGGACCCAGAGGTGGGGCTCCTGCATTCTCCTGCCTCAGCCTCCTGCACCCTACCCAATACCAAAGGTTCAGGATTTTGTGCCTGAACCGAGCTATCTGCAAGCACTTACCTCTCTTCATGCCCAAAGCTGCTCCTAGCACAGCTTCCGGCCTTCTCCCCTCTAGGATTGGTGCCTCGATGCCCACCTTCACTCAGGACTTCCAGGAGCAGAAGTGCAGGGGCTGGGGCCAACCTTAACACTGCCGTTCACTAGCTGGGCTATTTGTGCAAGTTTCAGAACCTCCGTGCCTCGGTTTCCCCACTGAGACTTGGGCCCCTCATCTCCACAGGATACTTGTGGCCCCGGTGGCACTGCATAGAGCTCAGAGCCTGCAGCCAGCCCTCTGCCTCGCTCACCAAGGCAAGTGAGGGTCAGCAGTGCCCAGCCTGGCACCAGGCAGGTGGGAGGGCCCAGTTTCTGGACAGGATGAGTTGGGCTGGGTGCGACCGCACATAGGAGAGAGGCTGGGCTCTGGTCAACTTGCTCAGGACACCCAGGTAGGCACAGGCCAGGGCTGGCATGGGGGGGCAGGGTCTGGGGCCCTCTAAGGCACGCGCAGACACAGGAACTTCCTGGTGCCCAGGGGCTCCGTGCCTCATTGGGGATAGTGCTGGCACGAGGAAGTGGAAAATTGGGGCTTGGGACACCAAATTCAAAAGCCAGCCTGAGACCCCACTGGAGCAGGGTAAGGAGGTGGCTTGATTCCCCACCCCCACAGCCACCCAACCGGCCCAGCCAGCTGCCAGCTGCAGCTGCCACCTCACCCTGGGGCCTAGAGCCCCTGCTGCTGGCTGCACAGCAGAAGGAAGCCGGGACCCCAAGCAGAGTGAGTGGGGCTGGCCCTGAGCCATGGGATTTCAAGCTAGTGGCCCCATGGTGCCCCCTAAGGGTGGCATGGGAGCCAGCTGCAGGCTGCCACCCCCTTCCCCACACTGTGAGTGAGGAGGAGACCTAGGCCCTTTGTGGGCTGGGGCGGGGGTGGGTAGCAGAGCCAGCTGTGCTGTGAAGCTGGAGCCCTTCCCGTGGGTCGCCTGCCCGGGTGCCTTTCCTGCAGCCCCCTGGGCAGACCCCCTCCCCCCATCACCACGCTGTACCTGGCACGACTTTGCCAGTCCCTGGGAGCAGGGCTGGGTGGGGAGAAGGTCCTCTGCAGGGGCCGCCTCCACTAACCCAGCCTGGACAAAGGCGGGCATTGAGGGTGGCCCTGGCACCCCAGCCCGGCTCCGAGGGAGCCCTTCCAGGGCTCGTGCCCTTCCCAGCGACCCAGGGCAGCTCAGGGCAGGGCACATGGGCTGGCACAGGAGCTGCCTGCCAGATGGGGAGGAAACCCTGTCCCTTTGTCCCCACATCCCAGGGCTATCTCCCTGGAAGTGGGGAGTGGCAGGGAGCCCCCCTGCCAGAAACCCCAGGGTGGGGCGGTGAGCACCAGATAGTGGGTCCCTGGCCTGGGCGTCTGGACAGAGGGGACATTGTTGGGATGGAGGAAGGGCTGCCTTGGCCCGGCCACTGTGGACAGAGCTGCCAGCTGTGGGGGAGCCTGGTCGCCAGGCCCTTGCCCCCTCCCCCAGGGAGGCATAAATGGGCAGGGCCTTGACTGTCTCCTTCCTACTTAGGACAATGCCCTCCACAGCCATCTTGTGCCCGTCACCACTGCCCCAGGGCAGCTGAGCCAGCGAGACCACGCTGCTGCGCCTCTTTGGGCTGGTGAGTTCCCGGACCCCACATCCCAAAGATGTCCCCAGAGGGGCGGGTGGGGTGACATGGCCAGGCCGGGGCAGCCTTGACACGGAGCCTCAGTGTCCTGTGCCCCACCCCATCCCCAGAGGACACTGCTGCAGAGGTCCCCGGGTCCAGAGGAAGTGCCTGTGCTGCCTGCCTGTGTCCCTGAGATAAGGGCTCCGGCCTTCCTGGGGACTTGGCCCAGGGCCAGAGTGGCTCAGCTCAGGGCCTGCCACCAGCTCCTGCCCCCTTCCCAGGGCTCTGCCTAGGCTCACATCTGTCCTGGAGTCCCCCAGGTGTGCACAAGATGCAGGGGGAGGGGTGCCTGCTTTGGAAGCTGGTGACTCTCCGGTCCCCTCCGGGCACAGTGTGGCATGGCTTACCCTTCCCCTCTCTTCCTCTTGGTGCCCCCGCAGCCAGTGTGGCTGTATCTCTCCCGGGCCCCTGTCCCTCTGTGGCCAGCGTGGGTTTTGCCTTCCTGTCCCTGTGCTATGGGTGTCCCTCCTTGGTATGTGGTGTCACCTTGTCCTCATGCTATGTCTTTTGTCTGGGTCGCCAGTGTGGGGCCCATCGCTCTCGTCCCCCAGCTGGCCTGGCCCTCTGTCACTCATAGTCCCCTCTGGTGCTGCCTCTAGCTTTCTGGCAGCGCCTGTTCCTCTCAGCGTCAGATGTAGGAGGAGTAGAAGAGGAAAGGACCATTCCTCAGGCGTCCCGCTCTCTGTCTTCTTCTGTCTCTTCCCTGCTGTCTCTCTGTCCTGTCTGTCCCTCCCCTCGGCCCCAGTGATGGCTCCTTGGCCTCCCTTTGGCTTACACCTCCTGCTGGCACCGCTGCTGCTGCTGCTGCTGCTGTCCCCACTGCCATCGCTGCCCTTCTCGGGGAGCCGTCACTTCTCTGCCTCCAACACCACCTTCAACCACCTGGCACTGGCGCCAGGCCGGGGCACACTCTACGTGGGTGCCGTGAACCGCCTCTTCCAGCTCAGCCCAGAGCTGCAGCTCGAGGTCACTGCTGTCACCGGCCCTGTGGTTGATAGTCCTGACTGTGTGCCTTTCCGCGACCCGGCCGAGTGCCCGCAGGCCCGGCTCACCGACAATGCCAACCAGCTCCTACTGGTGAGCAACAGGACCCAGGAGCTGGTGGCCTGCGGGCAGGTGAGGCAGGGCGTGTGTGAGAAGCGGCGCCTGGGGGATGTGGCCACGGTGCTGTACCAGGCCGAGGACCCTGGGGATGGGCAGTTTGTGGCAGCCAACACCCCGGGGGTGGCCACGGTGGGCCTGGTGGTGCCCCTGCCTGACCGTGACCTGCTGTTGGTGGCCAGGGGACTGGCGGGCAAGCTGTCAGCTGGGGTGCCGCCGCTGAGTGTCCGCCAGCTGGCCGGGCCACAGTCCTTCTCAAGCGAAGGCCTGGGCCGCCTCGTGGTGGGCGACTTCTCGGACTACAACAACAGCTACGTGGCGGCCTTCGCCAACGCCCGTTTCGCTTACTTTGTCTTCCACCGCCGTGGCGCGCGAGCCCAGGCCGAGTACCGCTCCTACGTGGCCCGGGTGTGTCTGGGTGATGCCAACCTCTACTCCTACGTGGAGGTGCCCCTGGCATGCCAGGGCCAAGGCCTCATCCAGGCTGCCTTCCTCACCTCGGGCACCTTACTGGGGGTGTTCGCTTCGGGCCTGAGTGGAGCGCGCACGGCCTTGTGTGCCTTTCCCCTGGCTGAGCTGGATGGCAGCATGGAGCGCACCCGGAGACTCTGCTACACAGCGGGCGGTTGGGGCCCCAGCGGCACGGAGGAAGCCACTGTGGAATATGGTGTCACGTCACGCTGCGACACCCTGCCCCCAGTGAGTGACCTGGTCCGGCTTCCACACAGTGACAGCCCGCTGGCCTCTTGGCCACTCTGTCCTGTTCCCCCTCCCCAGAGCCGACTAACCTTTCCCTGTCATCTAGGACTCGCCTGAGTCGTACCCCTGTGGGGATGAGCACACCCCCAGCCCCATTGCTGGCCGCCAGCCCCTGGAGGCCCAGCCCCTGCTACAGGTCGGGCAGCCCGTGAGTGCCGTGGCAGCCCTCGAGGTGGACGGGCGCACCATCGCCTTCCTGGGAGACACACAAGGCCAGCTGCATAAGGTGAGGTCCTGGCCAAGGGGAGCCCTGAGAACCCCCCCACTTCTGCCTCCCACACCTTGACACCTGGCAAGTATCCCCTCTTCCTCTGGCTCCCACCTGGGTGGCTTAGGTGACTGCCCAGTCACCTCCTAAGGTGGCCTTGCCTTCTCTGAGCAACGAGAGCCAACGGTCAAGGTGGGTGAGGGTGACGTGGGGGTGGGGCTGCCACAACTCTTGCCTCCTAGTGATCTGCCTGCCTCCTCCCAGTGCCCAGCAGGAGGTTGGCATGTTCCTGCCCAGATGGCTAGCAGGAAAGGGAGCTGACTCTGGGGTCACAAGAAAGCCCTGCCAGCTGACTTTGGCTTGGCAGGATGGCCCAGCCCTGTCCCTGTGCCCCGCCCAGGTCTTTGTCAACAGCTCCCAAGGCCAGGTGTACCACTCCCAGCAAGTAGGGCCCCCAGGAGCAGCCATCAGCCCTGACCTGCTGGTGGACAGCAGTGGCAGCCACCTGTACGTCCTGACCGCCCAACAGGTGAGGGCCGCCCGGGTCTGGGGACTGGGCCTGTGCCCGTTCCACAAGTCCTTGCAACTCCTACCCTTCCTTCCAGGTGGCCCGGGTCCCTGTGGCAACCTGCTCCCAGTTCCCTGACTGCCCCAGCTGCCTCCAGGCCCGGGACCCGCTATGCGGCTGGTGCATCCTGCAGGGCAGGTGAGTGTGAGCCTGCACCCTGGCCTGGGCGGGCGGGGGGGGGGCTGCGCCCCAGAATAGCTCCAGAGGTCCCAAGAGGCCAGCTCTTCTCGTCCAGGTAGACACCCGGGCCTCAGCCAAGCTCCTCAGTCGTGCCCACCCCTCCAGGGGTGAATCTAGGAGGTGCCTCTGCTGGCCGATGCCCCACTCCTCTTGCTCTCCCTGCTCCCTGCTGCCAGCCCCCAGGGAGCCTGAGACCCACTCGATAACCCTCAGGGGCCCTGCCCACAGGTGCACCCAGAAGGGCCAGTGCCAGCGGGCGACCCTGCCACGCCAGTGGCTCTGGAGCTACAAAGAGGACAGTCGCTGCCTGCATGTCCAGAGCCTGCAGCCGGCCCAGCAGCCCCGGCAGGAGCAGGGCCAGGTAAGGCCTCATGCCACACAGCACATGGCCGCTGCTGCTGACCCCACGCCGTCCTACTCTGTCTCCACCTCCCTGTGTCCCTCGCATGTGTTCCAGGTCACCCTGTCTGTCCTCTGGCTGCCCACCCTGGCTGAGGATGAATACTTCCATTGTGCCTTTGGGGACTATGACAGCTTGGCTCTTGTGCAAGGTCCCCATGTGGCCTGTGCCACCCCTCCCCAAGACCAGCTGCCACTTAACCCTCCAGGCACAGGTGAGGGGACCTCTGGGGAGGGAGAGGCCCAGGCCAGAGGGAGTAGGGGTACATGAGCTGTTCCGCCACCACTGTCCCCTCTCAGACCACATCACCCTGCCCCTGGCCCTGATGTTTGAGGACGTGGCCGTGGCCACCACCAACTTCTCCTTCTATGACTGCAGCACCATCCAGGCCCTGGAGGTGGCTGCCCCGTGAGTCCCTGGACCTGGATCCTGCAGGGTGGGGGTGGAGACCCCAGTGGTGCCCAGCCTGAGCAGAGCCCTGCTTCTGTAGGTGCCGTGCCTGTGTGAGCAGCCCCTGGCGGTGCCACTGGTGTCCCCAGAGCAGCCAGTGTATACACGGGGAGCACTGCCCAGATGGGGAGAGGACAGTCTACAGTACCCAGGAGGTGGGTGTGCCTGGCACCGCAGGATGAGGCCAAGCACAGGCCCCTGGAGTGCCGCAGGGTCAAGGCTCTTGTTCCCTAGGAGGACATCCAGGCACATGGCCCAGGGGCCTGTCCCCAGGTGGAAGGTCTGGCAGGGCCGAACTTGGTGCCTGTGGGCTGGGACATCGGTCTGGCCCTGCATGTGAGGAACCTTCAGTACTTCCGAGTGAGTGGTCAGGCGGGCAGGTGTCCGGCACAATGGGGATGTGACATGTCCAGGGGGCTGACAGTGTCCCCTCCCCACCAGGGCCTGCCTGCCTCCTACAACTGCTGGCTGGAGCTGCCCGGAAAGCTGCAGAGGTTGCCGGCCTCCCTGCAGGAGACGGCTGGGGACCGGGACAGGGATGGGGGCGCAGGTCTCATTCACTGCCAGGCCCAGAAGGTGGGCAGCTGCTTGCAGCCTTGCCTGCCACTGCCGGGTGCCTTCTGCAGCCCTCTGCCCCCTGGCTTTTTCCGATGCCTCATCCCCCTGCTCTGTGCCAGGCTCTAGCATAGCACGTGGCAGGAACAGTGCCCCTCGCCTCTGTCCCTGGGCTCTGGGTCTGGTGGAAACAATCATCCCCATTTTGAGTGGGGGGTCTAGCCTGACCCTGACCTCCACCCACAGTTCCACCCTTCCACGTCCCAGTGGGAGCTCCCGGTGCCCATCTACGTCACCCGGGGGGAGACCCAGCGGCTGGACAATGCCCGCACTCTTCATGGTGAGCAGGGGAGGGGGTTCCAGCCAGCAGATGGGGGCTGGGCCTCGGCGTGCAAGGGCGGGGCTTCAGTGTGCCACCTGACCCCCACCCAGTGACCCTGTACGACTGCGCTGTGGGCCACCCTGACTGCAGCCACTGCCAGGCGGCCAACAGGAGCCTGGGCTGCCTGTGGTGCAGTGACAGCCAGCCTGGCTGTCGCTATGAGCGGCTGTGCCCACCAGGGGCTGTGCAGCTGCTGTGTCCCATGCCCAGCATCAAGGCGGTAAGCCCCCAGCCCCTCCCTGGTGGCCCAGCCTCCCGCTTTTCCCCCCGACCTCCTCCCAATCCTAGCCCCTCAGCCCAGCTTCAGGTCCCCAGTCCCGGGCAGCTTGACTGGCCAGGCACCCCGCTGCAGAGTGGGGTGTGTTGGGGGATCCTATGCACCACCCTTGCCTGCTGCAGATCGAACCCCTCACCGGCCCCCCAGAAGGCGGCCTGGCCCTCACCATCCTGGGCTCCAACCTGGGCCGGACCTTTGCTGATGTGCAAGATGCCGTGAGTGTGGCCGGCCGGCCCTGCAGCCCCGACCCCTCTCGCTACCGCACCTCGGCTCGGTGAGGCACCCGGGCTGTGGGGGCAGTGGGGCCGTGGCTGTGCGGCCACCCAGGGAGAAGGGGGGCTTGCAGCCAAGACATGTGGGACCTTGGGTCAGAGCGCAAAGGAAACCGAGCAGGGGAGGGTGAGAGGGAGCGGGCTCCGGGCCATGGCTGGCAGGATGCTCGCAGATTTGCAGAGCCTTGAGCAGCCATGGGTCCTTGGCTCATTCAGGATTGTGTGTGTGACATCCCCTGCCCCCAATGGCACCACTGGGCCAGTTCAAGTGGCCATCAAGAGCCGGCTGCCGGGCATCTCAGCCCAGCATTTCACCTATCAGGTCGGTGCCCACCTTGAGGTGTCCTTAGTGCGGGGACATGGGGGGGCTGAGGGCACACACTGAAGTAGGCTGGCACACTGGCTCAGAAGAAGCAGGAAACACTGCCGTGTGCCCAGGAAGGAAGCCACATGACCTCAGTGGACAGCAGGCTGGGGGCAGTAGCAGTGGCAAGGACGGTACCACAGGCAGCTGCCCAGGAGGAGGAGGGCAGCTGAGCCAGTCTGGGCACAGAGCTGTTGAGACTTGCTATGGGCCTGACTGCCTGCGGGAGCAGGCGCTGGAGAGAGCGAGGACACCTGCAGGTGCCAGCCTGAGCCCCAGACACCTGAGAGGGTCATTTCTGGGGTGGGGAGCCTGGGGTCAGTGCATGCAGCACCCCAAGGGGAGGCAAGTGGGTATCAGGGTAAGGCTAAAGCTGTCCCGGGGGTGGGGACATGGGAGGAGGCCACCAAGCCAGGACACGGTGTTTCCGGAAAGAGCTGCAGCTCCTGACGTTGACCAGAAAGCAGCCTGCACGGCAGAGCCCTAGAGCCACGTGCCTGCCATGCCTGCCCTGTTCCCCAGGACCCCATCCTGTTGAGCAGGCCCCGTGCCTGTCATGCCTGCCCTGTTCCCCAGGACCCCATCCTGTTGAGCCTGAGTCCTCAGTGGGGCCCACAGGCAGGTGGCACCCAGCTCACCATCCACGGGCAGCACCTGCAGACGGGAGACAACATCAGTGCCTTTGTGGGTGGCCAAGCCTGTCCCATGTGAGTACCCAGCCCTGCTGCCACCCTCTGCTGGACACTCCCTGCAGGCCTGTGTCCCCTCATAAAGCAGGAGCTTCTGTCAGATTCCTAGAGAAGCAGTGCTGTGCCCACTCTAGAGGTCTCTGCCCTGTTCATAGGGGCACTGGGCCAGCAGCAAGCTCCCCTAAGAAGAAATTCTCCTCCCGCCCCACAGCCTGGAGCCCATGTGTCCAGAGGCCATTGTGTGCCGCACCATGCCCCAGGCCATGCCAGGAGAAGCAGCAGTCCTTGTGGTCTTTGGCCATGCTGAGCGCAAACTGCTTACCAGCCCTTTCCGCTACACTGCCAACCCAAGGCTCCTGGCAGCAGAGCCCAGTGTCAGCTTCCGGGGGTGAGGAGCCTGAGCCAGGGCCGCTGGGGCTGGGCTGAGCCGCTGCTGCCCTCCCAGCCTTCTAACCTCCGTCCCTACATAGGGGCGGGCGGCTGATCCGCGTGAGGGGCACGGGACTAGACACTGTGTGGCAGCCCCTGCTGTCTGTGTGGCTGGAGGCTGAGGAGAAAGTACAGGCTTTGGGGAATTCGAACCCCAGGAGGACCTGCGGGGACCCAGCTGCAGGCCGCCAGACTTGTGTTCAGCTTGCAGAGGGCTTGCTACAGGTGAGTCCCTCATCACACCAGCAGGTGGCAGGGCTGTACCCAGGCCATGCCACGGTGCAGGAGCCCTGTTCACTGGCCTCCCCTGCCCCCAGTGCTCCACCATCTGCTCGGTCAACTCGTCCAGCCTCCTCCTGTGCCGAAGCCCCGCTGTGCCAGACGGGGCCCACCCAAAGCGGGTGTTCTTTGCCCTGGATAATGTGCATGTGGACTTTGCCAGCGCCAGTGGGGGTCAGGACTTCCGGTACCAACCCAACCCATACCTGGCCCCGCTCAGCCGTGAGGGGCCATCTCATCCCTACCGCCTGAAACCGGGCCACGTCCTGGACGTGGAGGTGAGCACACTGCCAGCTAGGCGCTCTGGCTGTGGGGCAGGGGTGACAGCACCTCAGGTGTCCCATGTGTCTAGGGTGAGGGCCTCAACCTGGGGATCAGCAAGGAGGAGGTGCGTGTGCACATAGGTGATGGCGAGTGCCTAGTGAAGACGCTCACGCTCACACACCTCTACTGCGAGCCACCACCGCAAGCTCCACAGGCGGCCAACGGCTCAAGTGCGCTACCGCAGTTCGTGGTGAGCAGGCAGCTGGACGGAGGGCGGGGCATGTGTGTGTGTGTGTGTGCGTGTGTGTGCACGCTGCAGGCCACCCAGGCTCAGGACCCCACCCCCCAGGTGCAGATGGGCAACGTGCGCCTGGCCCTGGGCCCTGTCCAGTATGAGGCGGAGCCCATGTTGCCTGCCTTCCCCGTGGAGGCCCAGGTGGGCCTGGGCATGGGTGCCGCTGTGCTGATCGCCGCTGTGCTCCTCCTCACACTCATGTACAGGTGACTTCCCCAGGTGGGTGGGCAGGGGGCTCTGGTGGCCTGGGCTGTGGCTGACGCCAGGTGCCATGCAGGCACAAGAGCAAGCAGGCCCTGCGGGACTACCAGAAGGTGCTGTTCCAGCTGGAGAACCTGGAGACGGGTGTAGGTGACCAGTGCCGGAAGGAGTTCACAGGTGCGTGAGCCTGCACACACACGTGTGCACGTGTGTGTGTGTGTGTGTGCACGCAGGGGCAGAGGGCCCAACGGTTCTGGGCCCACATCTTGGTGAATCCTGGCCGCAGACCTGATGACCGAGATGACAGACCTCAGCAGTGACCTGGAGGCCAGCGGGATCCCCTTCCTGGACTACCACACGTATGCCGAACGCGCCTTCTTCCCAGGCCATGGAGGCTGCCCACTGCAGCCCAAGCTCCAGGGGCCCGGGGAAGAGGGCCGCCACACCACTGTGTGCCAGGGCCTCACCCAGCTCTCCAACCTGCTCAACAGCAAGCTCTTCCTCCTCACAGTGAGGGCCACGTGGTGCTGGGGTGGGCAGGGCACTCAGGGAGGGGTGGTCCAGTCATGCCAGGGGCAGGGGCTCAAGAGCAAGGTGTCACATGGGGCTTCCTGGAGTGAACACCCACTACTCCCTGCCCAGCTCATCCACACCCTGGAGGAGCAGCCCAGCTTCTCCCAGAGGGACCGCTGCCACGTGGCTTCACTGCTGTCCCTGGCACTGCATGGCAAGCTGGAGTACTTGACAGACATCATGAAGACTTTGCTCAGCAACCTGGCGGCCCATTATGTGCGCAAGAACCCCAAGCTCATGCTTCGCAGGTTGGCCTGGCCCTGGATAGGCCTCTGCCCACTACACCCTGGGTGGGCTCTGCCCTGTGTGCCGGGAGCGCCCGGAGTTGGGGAGGAATAAAGGAGCATCCTGATCAGGGTCCTGGGGCCTTCTCCCCACAGAACAGAAACCATGGTGGAGAAGCTGCTTACCAACTGGCTGTCCATCTGTCTCTACAGCTTCCTGAGGGTGAGGGGCGCTGTGCAGTGGGTGACACCAGCCTGTCCCCCAGCACTTGGGAACAGCCTGCCTGGCCTCCCCAGCACACACCCAAGTTAGCCCTGTCCCAGCTGGATGGCTGGCAGAGGCAGGGAGGGCTTAGGCCCCAGCCCCAGGGCCTGAAAGGGCTGTCTGTCCCAGTCAGTCCTTGCTTGCACCCTGTACCCCCACCATGCCCGCAGCTAAGCCTCCCTGGCACACGGCCCCATGGCCAACGCTGGCACACCTTGGTGGTTGCAGGAAGTGGCTGGTGAGCCCCTGTACATGCTCTTCCGTGCCATCCAGTACCAGGTAGACAAGGGTCCTGTGGATGCCGTGACGGGCAAGGCAAAACGGACCCTAAATGACAGCCACCTGCTGCGGGAGGATGTGGAGTTCCGGCCTCTGACACTGATGGTGCTGGTGGGGCCCAGGGCTGGCGGGGATGCAGGTGGCAGTGAAGTGCAGCGCGTGCCAGCCCGGGTGCTCGACACGGACACCATCACCCAGGTCAAGGAGAAGGTGCTGGACCAAGTCTACAAGGGCACCCCCTTCTCACAGAGGCCCTTGGTGTATGCCCTCGACCTCGGTGAGAGAGCTGGTCTGCCCTGCCCAGCTCCCGCCTAGCACCTTGGGGGACTCTGGCTGATGGGCTCACACCGGTCCCTCCAGAGTGGCGCTCGGGCCTGGCTGGTCACCTGACCCTGTCAGACGAGGACTTGACATCAGTGACTCAGAACCGCTGGAAGAGACTCAACACTCTGCAGCACTACAAGGTGCCAGCCGATGGGGGCAGGGTAGGGGGGCAGTGCTTCCCACCTCAGGAGCACTGACGCAGGGCCTGAGCCACCCATGTCCCACCAGGTCCCCGATGGTGCAACCGTGGGGCTCATTCCTCAGCTGCACGGTGGTGGTGGTGCGGTCTCCCAGAGCCTGGCGCAGAGCTGCCCCTCCGGGGAGAGTGAGTCCTCTGTGGCTGGCTTCACCAGCCGCCGCCTCCCATCTCTGTCCTCCCTGCCTTCCCTGTGGCACAGGATGGGGGCAGGGACGAGACTGAGGCCAGGCCTCCATGCCCCCAGACATCCCCATGCTGGAGGATGGCGAGGAGGGCGGGGTGCGCCTGTGGCATCTGGTGAAGGCCACTGAGGAGCCGGAAGGGGCCAAGGCGCGACGCAGCAGCCTCCGGGAGCGGGAGCGGGCTCGGGCCAAGGCCATTCCGGAAATCTACCTCACCCGCCTGCTCTCCATGAAGGTCAGTGTGCCCGCTGCCGGTAAGCTGGGGTGCGGGGCAGCCCCTCACCCTGTGCCATCCCCCCACAGGGCACACTGCAGAAGTTCGTAGATGACACCTTCCAGGCCATTCTCAGCGTGAGCCGGCCCGTGCCACTCGCCGTCAAGTACCTATTCGACTTCCTGGATGAACTGGCAGAGAAGCATGGCATCGAGGACCCAGAGACCCTGCACATCTGGAAAACCAACAGGTACCTTCCAGGCCGACGCTGCCTACCCTCGCCGTGCATCGCCAGGCCCCAACCCCGGCCAGCAGACCTCTGCCACAAGGGGTGGCCTACGCTTCATCACGCACCTGGCCTGTGTCCCCAGCCTGCTGTTGCGATTCTGGGTGAACGCCCTGAAGAACCCACAGCTCATCTTCGATGTGCACGTGTCAGACAACGTGGATGCCATCCTGGCTGTCATTGCACAGACCTTCATCGACGCCTGCACCATCTCAGAGCACAAAGTGGGCCGGGTGAGGACAGTTGGGTAGAGGAGCAAAGGCTGCAGGGGAAGCCTGGCGGCCAGAGGTAGGGATGCTGCTGGCTGCCCTGGCTCCCACTCATGCCAGCACCTCTCCACCCGGGCAGGACTCCCCCGTGAACAAGCTGCTCTACGCCCGAGAGATCCCTCGCTACAAGCAGATGGTGGAGAAGTAGGTGGTGGAGGTGGCAGGGTTGGGGGCCGGGCCGCCTGGCCCTAACTCTGGGCTCCTGCAGATACTACCTGGACATCCGCCGCAGCTCGCCCGCCAGCTACCAGGAAATGAACTGCGCTCTGGCTGAGCTCTCTGGGGTGAGGCGAGGCACAGCCCGCCACCTTTGGGAGGGCTCACTGGGGGTCACCATGGGGCTCGTGGCCTGTGCTGGGACTCACTTTTGCCCATGTGCTGCCCCCAGAACTACACCTCTGCCCCCCACTGCCTGGAGGCTCTGCAAGAGCTATACAACCACATCCACAGGTATTACGACCAGGTGAGGCCCAGGTGCTCCGGAGGGCAGAGGACAGGCCCAGGACGGCCCTGGGGGTGGGCTGGTGGGTGTCCCTGCTGGGAGGCAGTGAAGGACTCAGGGGTGCTCTGGTCCCTCGGCAGATTATCAGTGCCCTGGAGGAGGACCCCGTGGGTCAGAAGATGCAGCTGGCCTGCCGCCTGCAGCAGATTGCCGCCCTGGTGGAGAACAAGGTGACTGACCTGTGAGCTGATGTAAAGCGGGACCTGCTGTGGCTTTGCCTCACTGTGACCCCAGGACCAAGCCAGGGAGCCAGATGGGAGGCACCCCACCGGGCTTGTTTCTAACTTATGACATTCCTTACCCTTCTCCCACTGTATTTATTTGCACGCTGAAATAAAATTGAAGAGTCTGTTTTTGAAAAAGCCCAATCCCCAGTCCCTTGCAGTTCACTGCCACAGCCCCAGCAGTCCCACCTTTTCCCCCTTTCCCTTTGAGAAGAACCAGAATGAACTTTTATTGTTTTTTAAGACAGGTTCTCAATATGCAGTTTAAACTGGCCTTGAACTATGTAGCCCAGGCTGGCCTCAAACTCACAGCGATCCTCCTGCCTCAGCCTCCTGAGTGCTGGGATGGCGGGCATGCGCCACCACGCCTGGATGCTTTCTAAGCAGCGAGAACAACAATTTGTTGGCCTTGTTGGACCCCTCCTCACTGGCACCCACAAACGTGAAGCAGGGCCCCTCTGTCCCCTGCACTGCCCTGGGTACTTTAGGTCCTGAGGTTGCAGTCTCCCTCTGTGCCACCCAGTTCACAGGCAGGGTCCATGGGTCGACTGTTCCCACGGGATGTGGTGGAGCTGGCTGTCAGTGGGCGCCTGGCAAATGGGGACACAGCAGGAGCGGCAGCCCAGAGCGAGCAGGGGGCTGGGAGGGAAGCCGTGCCAGGTGCTACAGCGGGGTCCTAGAAGGGCCTGGCACTCCCATGGCAGGAACGAGCTGCCCCTCACTCTGGTCTGGACCACACTCAGCCAAGGGCCCCTACGGCACTACAATCGGGGGAGATGTGAGCCCCCACCCATCCGGGGAGCATCTGGGGTTGAGAGGGTCCCCCCAGAAGGACTCCCACGGGGACTAAGTGGGAAGTCCAAGGATGCCCTGAAGGTTCCAGAGCGCCACCGGTGCCACACAGCACAGGGGATACACTCAGCCTGAGGACCTGGTCACCACGTCAACCACACCCTGCAGTCATCCCAGGGTGCAGGCACTTGGACAAGGGTCAGGATTACCACACCCTCGAGGTGCCCCTCGCTTGGTCCTGAGGTGCAGGAGCTCAGCCTGGGGCCCGGGGGCCTGGCTCTGGCCAGTGTCCTGTCACCACACTGCCCCCTCCCCGCGTGCATACCTTGCCCACAGCCGAGCAGCTGGGAAGCTATTTATAAAGGCGGGTGAGATCAGCAGCCAAAGCTATAAATGCACAGGCCACCACCAGGCCCCACAGGAGCCGCTGCCCGGAGTGCTGGAGCTGCAGGCTGTGAGGCCAGGATGAACGACAGCACGGGTGGTGGCGGTGGTGCCGACAGTGGTGGCAGCAGCAGCAGCAGGTAGGGATCAGCTGGGCGCCCGGGGTCTCCGGCACATTACACATTCACTGCCTGCCCACCCCACCCTGCCCACAGCTCACAGGCCTCCTGCGGGCCCGAGTCCTCGGGCTCTGAGCTGGCACCAACTATGCCAGCACCACAGATACTGCCAGGGCTGCTGGGCTCTGACAATGAGGAACAGGAAGACCCCAAGGACTACTGCAAGGGTGAGGCCTGGCCTTGGGCTCAAAGGGCCAGACTGGCACCTCAGAGGTTTGGGCTGCCCAGATGCACTGGGTCTATCAGCTCCTTCTGGCAGGTGGCTACTATCCGGTGAAGATCGGTGACCTGTTCAACGGGCGCTACCATGTGGTGCGCAAGCTGGGCTGGGGCCACTTCTCCACCGTGTGGCTCTGTTGGGACATCCAGTGAGTGGCCCCCACTCCCCAGGGCCCAGCGCTGGCCGGGATCCTGCCCCAGGCTTGGTCGCGGGACCCACGGTGGCCCCCGGAGCATAGCTAGTACTGGCACATCATGAGGTCTCGCTGTTCCAGGCGCAAGCGCTTTGTGGCCCTGAAAGTGGTGAAGAGTGCCGGGCATTACACGGAGACAGCTGTGGATGAGATCAAGCTCCTCAAATGTGTGAGGCGCCTCCCCTCCACTCTGGGTTCCTGAGGCTGCCTGCCTGGGGCCTGGCAGAGCGGGGGCAGGGCCCACAGGGCTCAGCTGAGGATGGGTGGGGCTCCCAGAGGGGCAGGCTCCAGCTGGCACTGCCTACTGGGAGGGTAACGGAGGCCTGGGTGAGTGGAGCCACTGGTGTTTGGGGGGCACTGAAGGGTAGACTGGAGCCATCTGCGGCCACCTGGCTTGTAGGTTCGGGACAGCGATCCCAGTGACCCCAAAAGGGAGACCATCGTTCAGCTCATAGATGACTTCCGGATCTCAGGGGTCAACGGAGTCCGTATCCTTGGCAGGCTGGGTAGGGGTGCAGTGGGAAGGGACCAGGCCCCCCTTCTTAACCTCCCACACCTCCACCTGAGCTGCGTGGTCTGGGAACAGATCCACCCCTCCAGGCATGTTTTCCGTATGTGGGGGATGGGGTGCTGGCAGCTGGGGTGCTCTGTGGGCGTGTGTGTCACTGAGACCAAGGAGCACACTAGAGTAGACTGGGCCTCTCAAGCCAGTCACAAATGACCATAAAGTGCCCCATCCCACCTGGCACACCTGAGGGTGACGGGGACACTGACACCCTGGGAGAGTGGTGGCCCCAGCTATGTGCCCTTCACTCCACACCCAGATGTGTGCATGGTGCTGGAGGTCCTGGGCCACCAGCTCCTCAAGTGGATCATCAAGTCCAACTACCAAGGCCTTCCAGTGCCCTGCGTGAAAAGCATCATGAGGCAGGTGAGTGCTGCCTCCTGGGCTGCCAGCCCGGCTCCGGCCACCCGTAACTCAGGTGTAGCTGTGCCCAGGTGCTGCATGGCCTGGACTACCTGCACACCAAGTGCAAGATCATCCACACGGACATCAAGCCTGAGAACATCCTGCTGTGCGTGGGTGACACCTACATCAGACGCCTGGCAGCCGAGGCCACCCAGTGGCAGCAGTCAGGGGCCCCGCCGCTGTCCCACTCCACAGGTACCGGGAGCAGGTACAGGGCCAGCCTGCACCTTGGGGCCTCTGTCCCCACCTGATCGCCACTCCTCTTTCTCCCTACCCCACTGCACCCCAGTCAGCACTGCCCCCCAGGAGGTCCTGGTAAGTTGCAACACCCCTCCTCCACTCTTCCTCAGCCACTCACTGCACCCCAACAGTGGCACTTCTACAAGCCTGGGTGGTCCCGATGAGGGAGACAGGGTGGGTCATATGTCCCCATGACTACTTCCAGCTGCCTCCACTGGGGCCAGGAGGGAACAGGGAGCACCCCAGGCAGGCAGAGACGGGCTAAGGGGTGCCCCCAGGGCCAGGCCTGGTTAGGGAACTCCCACCGCCAGATTGGCAGCAGCTCCGGGGATGACCAAGACTCTGGTGGCAGACTGGTAAACTGTCAAAAAACAAGCGGAAGAAGATGAGGCGCAAACGGAAGCAGCAGAAGCGGCTGCTGGAGGAGCGCCTGCGGGACCTGCAGCGGCTGGAGGCCATGGAGGCTGCAGGCCAGGCTGAGGGTGAGGGGCCAGCGAGGGCACCACCCTGCCAGCGAGCACATGCGCAGGCTGCTGCTCACACGGGCCTCTGCCCCAATTCCCCAGACTCTGGCTTGAAACTCGAGGGAGGCAGTGGCTCCACCTCCTCCTCGGGCTGCCACCCTGGGGGTGTCCGGGCCAGCACCTCCCCAGCCTCATCCTCCCCCGCTCCCGGGGGCGACCGAAGCCTTAGCCCCGGCTCACAGACATCGGGCTTCTCGGGTTCCCTGTTCTCTGCGGCCTCCTGCTCCATCCTCTCAGGCTCATCCAATCAGCGTGAGACCGGGGGCCTCTTGTCACCCAGCAGTAAGTGTTGTGGGCAGGGACGGGCAGCAGGCAACAGGGCAGAGGAGCTAGGCTGCCCAACCCCTCCACCCCTTCCTCCCGCAGCACCCTTTGGTGCCTCGAACCTCCTAGTGAACCCCCTGGAGCCCCAAAATGCAGACAAGATCAAGGTCAAGATTGCGGACCTGGGCAACGCCTGCTGGGTGGTACGAGCCCCTCAGGGACCCTGGTGGGGCGTGGGGGCCCCTCCAGCAAAGCCAAGGCCGCTGGGGAGGCAGGGCAGGGGTGAGAGCCCAGCTCCTGTCCCCAGGAGCCCTCTTGCCTCCAGCACAAGCACTTCACGGAGGACATCCAGACGCGGCAGTACCGGGCTGTGGAGGTGCTGATCGGCGCAGAGTACGGGCCGCCAGCAGACATCTGGAGCACGGCCTGCATGGTGTGTGGGCACTGGGAGTCCCCGAGGCCAGGCCGCTCACACTGGCCACGGCCTCACCTCTCCTCTCGCAGGCCTTCGAGCTGGCCACTGGAGACTACCTGTTTGAGCCTCACTCTGGAGAAGACTACAGTCGTGACGAAGGTAGGGAGGGGCCCGGGGCCGGAGCGCCTACCCGATGTCCACCCACCCACGCGTCCCCTTCCCTCTGCCACCACAGACCACATCGCACACATCGTGGAGCTGCTGGGCGACATCCCCCCGGCCTTCGCCCTCTCTGGACGCTATTCCCGGGAATTCTTCAACCGGAGAGGTGGGGTACATGGGGTAGAGATGGGCCAGGGCCTGGGGACAGGGCCCGACACTGCCCACCCACCCGTCCACCCGCAGGAGAGCTGCGGCACATCCACAACCTCAAGCACTGGGGCCTGTACGAGGTACTCATGGAAAAGTACGAGTGGCCGCTGGAGCAGGCCACGCAGTTCAGTGCCTTCCTGCTGCCCATGATGGAGTACATCCCCGAGAAACGAGCCAGCGCCGCCGACTGTCTGCAGCACCCGTGGCTCAACCCCTAGTCCCACCGCCCCACCTGTGGGCACAGTGCCCTCCCCACCGGAGGCCAGCGTCCTCGGCCACTGCAGTCCGCCCAGTGGCCTCCATTCAGGAGAGCGTTCGCGTTTCTTAATAAAGTGTGCACTGAACACTGGGGTCCAGGAGCAGGGCTGGGCGGATGCCATTTTATTCTGGGGTCAGGTGGCAACGCTGGCTGTGGTGCTGGGGTGCAGGAGGGCCTAGGCCTCCATGGCCCGGCCATTGATGATGCGGATGTGGCGGATGATATCCTGGATGGCCTGGGACGTGGTGCCCTGGCCCCCAATGTCTGGGGTATGCATCTGCAGGAGACCGGAAGTGTGGGTGCACTGGGCCTGCCAACACCTGCCCACCCCTGGGCGGCCTGGGGCTGCCCACCGTCCTGCCTGTAGACGGCAGGACCCAGAACTGCCACCAGGACAGTGGTACCACCCTCCCTGGCCCCTGAGGGTGGGTCATACCTGCCCAACACAGGCTAGGGGACAGTGGGGAGGGACGGGAGCACCCTCACGTTTTCGTTGTCCATGGACGCCAGGACAGCTTTGCGGATGGAGGTGGCATAGGAGTGCAACCTGGAGGAAGGGAGTGGCATTTGGTGCTTGGGCCAAGGGGGTGGGGGGGGCCGGTGCTGGGCACTGGACATCACTTACTTGAGGTGGTCTAGCATCATGCAGCTGGCAAGCAGCGTGGCCGTGGGGTTGGCGATGTTCTTATTGGCGATACTCTTGCCTGTGTTCCTCGTGGCCTGGGAAAAACATGACACAGGAGGGTGGGTGGGGCATGTCCAGCAGAGGCACGGCCGCAAGACAGAGAATGGGGCAGCCAGGGACAACAAGAGGCAGCCTAATGGCTCATGGGACACCGGCCACATCTGCAACTCACCGTCTCAAACACAGCGTACACATGGCCATAGTTGGCTCCTGCCACAAGGCCTGGGCCCCCAACCAGCCCTGCGCAGACATTGTTGACGATGTTGCCATAGAGGTTGGGCATCACCATGACATCAAACTGCTGGGGCCGGGACACGAGCTGCAGGTGAAGGTGGCTGAGTGTGAGAAGTCCAGGCACCCAGGGCAGGAGGCCTCGGAGCCGGGCGGGTGACTACCTGCATGGTGGTGTTGTCCACGATCATGTTCTCAAAGGTGATTTGGGGGTAGTGGGCTGCCACCTCCCTGCAGCACTGGAGGAAGAGACCATCACCTAGCTTCCTAGGAGGAGGCAAGGGAGACAGGACACCGGCTTGGCCTATCACCACGCATGGTCAGAGGAAGCCCGAGGCCGATTTCTAACCACCCCCATCTGCAACCAGCCCCACGCCTCCTCTCCAAAGTGTGGATGTGGTGTGGCCACAGACCCACTGCGAATGCCCCTTGATGGGTGGCCAGTGTCCCCAACCCCAAGTCTGAGAGCAGACCAAGCAGGCCACTCCAGCCGCTTTGGGGCACTGGGGACCTACATGATGTTGGCCTTGTGCACAGCCGTCACTTTCTTTCGCCCGCTCTCCTGGGCCAGCTTGAAGGCGTATTCAGCGATGCGCAGGGACTTGGCCTTGGTGATGATCTTCAGGCTCTCCACCACTCCTGCCACACTCTGCCAGGAGTGGAGGGGCGCCATGAGGTGCAGCCCCCTCAGAGAGCCACCCTCTTCTTGGCTCCTCAAAGTCTATCCCCGATGCTAACCCTGGCCAGAATGGCTGGGCTCACCTAACGCTCCCCAGGCCCCGCGCGGGTGCCTGGCTCTGCCCACCTCGTGCTCCAGGCTGCTGTACTCGCCCTCTGTGTTTTCCCGAACGATGAGGATGTCTATGTCCTTGTGCCGCGTCACCACTCCCGGCAGGCTCTTGCAGTGGATGACGTTGGCGTACAGGTCCAGGCTGGTGCTGGGAGGGGTACAGAGGAAGAAGCAGGCTGGACACGACTGGCAGCTGGTCAGGGTCACGACCACCGGCACAGCCCACGCTGGCCCTCACTGGGCCACCTTCTCACACACGAGGCCCTCACCGGAGGATGTTGTTCCGGGATTTGTGGGACGGTGGTAGGTTGTGGTTGGTTTCGATGTTGCCTGTAGAACAAAAACAAGACAGGTGGGCTGGAGGGGGGCCCAAGTGCTGCCATGCCACCCTGTCTCCTTGCCTGGTGCAGGACGTGTGCACTAAAGGCTGCTGCCAGTGGAGGAGACAACAGGATGAGGCACCAGCATAAGCTCGTAGGGACACACTGGGGGGGGCACCTGGCCCGCAGCAGGCATCCGCTAACTGTATACTAAACAAATGAATAAATGAAGAATAGAAATGCTGGCAGCTGGCAGAAGCCCTGCCATTCCCCAGCCCGACTATGGCTCGAGAGACAGTGACCACTCCTGCTGCCTGCTGCCAACAGGCTGGCTGGCCAGGCCAGAACCCACAAGGTGACCTTGGGCTGGGTTATGGCCAAGATCCCAAACTGAGGTGCCCACAGGCCTACAAGAGCAGCAGCCAGGGGCGCCCGGAAGAGGTCATAGCTCGGACCCCAGAGCAGAAGCCTAGAGGACTGGGTGTTCACAGTTGCCAAGGGAAGGAGGCCAGAGGATGCCAAGCAGAGAGCCCTTTCCAGCAGCCCACCAGGACCACCCAGCCTTCAGCGCCCCCAATCCATCTCCAGGGCTCGTCCTGCTCACAGTCCTACACAGGCACCATGGGCTGAACCTGCAGAATGGTGGAGGTCAGGAAGGGCAAATTCGGCACAGGCCCCACAGAACTGTACCTTGAGGACCCTGCTCTACAGAAGAGCCCTGCAGAGGGAGTGTGGCAGGGGGAAGGAGGAGGTGCTGCCCACTACCACCGTGTATCCACAGGCACGCAGAGATATCCACCCAGACTCCAGGCAAGGAATCCGCTCTGGCCAGCATCCTGGCACTGGGGCACCAGGGCCCTGGAGCCCCAGAGCCACAAGCCTCACCCTTCAGGGCCACGCGGTTCCGACGGATGGCCATGATGGCATTGCGGATGTCCTCCTCATCGGCATTGGAGCTCACGTGCACCTCTTCGAAGTCTACTGGCACACACGCGTGCCTGGGGCAGAGTGGGGTCAGGGAAGCCGCCCCAGGGCCCATGCCTCCTCTTCCAGGAAGCCTGCCCTGGCTGCCGCTGACAGAGGCCTCGCCCTGCGGCTGCTCACCTCAGCCCAGCTGTGGCTGGAAGGGGACTGGGAGTACCATGCCAACAGAGGAGGACACATCCGAACCCTGCTACGTGGTAGAATCAGAGGCTGGGCTTTTCTAGGCCTTCCTGTGGCTGCCACACCAGGTTCTCAGGCATAGCCCCTCTCGCCAAAGTTACCAGGGCCCGCTGGCTGTGGCAGGACACAACCCACTCCCCTGGGGGACACATCTCCATACCTGAACACAGACTTCACATGCAGCATGAGCTCCGGTCCGATGCCATCCCCTGGGATCATGGTCACAGTGTGCCGGCCGCCATACTTAGCTGATGGAGGCTGCAAAGAGAGAGAGGGTGAGGACAGGGCTCTGGGTGTCCCCCAAGCTCCCCAGCTCAGCACCTAGAGCCAGCACCCCCTTCTCACACCCCCGATCCCACAGGCCGGCCCATCTGGAGGTGCCGACTCGAGGTCAGGCTCCCTACTCGGCAACAACCCTGGAGGCCATGTGGACTTGGGTCAACCCCAGAGCAACTGCAAAGCCCCACGGCCGACACAGAGGACAAGGAGAATACTCACGATCGTTTGTTGCTAGAGGGAGGACAGAAAGGAAGAACACAGGTCAGGCAAGGTCAGAGGAGCAAGGCTGTGACCAGAGGAGGACTGGGCCTGCTCCGCCCTCTAGCACAACTTGGGGAAGGGCAAGACCCGCCTCTGAGAAGGGCGCACACGCAGAGTCCCACGGCCCTGTGTGCCCCAGTCAGGGACTCACCGAGGAGATGTGCCTCCGGGGGACCTCGCAGGCACCCAGCACCTGGCAGAGGAAACCCAAATGCAAGTCGAGTTGGCAAGGGCTGGCCTAGCTGTGGGCAGGGAAGGGAGACTGAGGCTGGCAGGCTCGGCTGGAGTCTGCTCGAGTGCTGGAGACAGGAGGGGTGGTGGCAGGGCCAGAGTCCCAAGGGAACCTCACTGTGCCACCAGGTGGGGTTTATGGGTCCTGGACAGGCCCTCCTCCAGGGGCCGAGCCGGGCTCCCAGGGCACTAGCACTGCCTCCCCTCAGCTCGGGACACCTCCCTCGGCTGGCACCGCTCTGTTCCCCTCCCCACCCATCACTCCATGACTCAGTTGCATGGACGCTTCCCCAGTGTACAAATGCACCAGAAAGTGAAGAAAAAGATGGAGACTGGGAGCTCTCAGTCCAACTCCACGGTCCACTACTCTCAAGATGGCTTAATGTCTTCATCTGTAAGCCATATGTCAGAGGCACCCACTGCATGTGACAAGAGAAGGCATGGGAGCAACTCACAGGAGCTGGCCTCCTGTGCTCAGGCCTGGGCACCCCTAGCCACAGCTGGCACTATCACCACCAGGGACAAACATCTCCTGCAGCTTGTTTCTGGGCCAGATGTTCCACTGGGCTCTGGCCAAAGTGCCAAGATCTCTTCAGACAGAGACTCCCCTGATCTTATGCTGTACAAATTACAAAGGCTCAGTCACCTCCAGGTCATCCTGGGAAGCCACAGGCAAAGTTGCTGAGTGTACAGCAGGCCGGGGATACACAGACACGGGTCTGTCACTTCTTGGCAGTTTCCCAGAAAGCCATGGGTCCGGGGTGGCATGCGTTCCCGCTGGAGGGCTGCACACTCCATACCCTACTAAGACTTTTCTCTAAGGCTTCTGCTGCATCCTCGTGCTTTCCAGGAGGTCCCAACGAGTGATGCCCAAGATCTGAAGTTCCTTTAGAAGGGTTTCCATACCCAGGACAGCCAGGCTCAGGAGAAGCCAGACCACCAACCTTTTCTGCCCCAACCCCCACCCCAAGAAGCAGGCACACAAGCATGTGCACACACACACACACACACACACACACACGTGGGGTGTGTGGGGGTTGACAGATGTCTTGGAGAGCAGGCAGATGCCTAGCTACAGGAGCCTCCAGGGCATCTGAAAATTCTCTACAGTATGTGAGGCATCCTCTCATCGACGACAAGGGAAAAGAAAGCATTTTTGTTGTTGTTTTTTTGAGATAGGGTCTCATTATGTAGTTCAAGCTGGCTTTGAACTCACTAACCCAGGCTGGCCTCAGATTTGCGGAGATCCTCCTGCCTCAGCCTCCTGAATGCTAGGATTACAGGCATGTAGCACCACACTAGGTTTGAAACTAGCACGTTAAAGAAAACAGTAGAAAGTATACACAGTCTTTCTCTGAGGACACAGGGGTTAAACATGGGAGTAGAAACGTCCCCAGGGAGCATCAACAAAATCATGAGGCTCTGGAAGGTCAAAACTGGCAGGGACTTTTGAGAACAGAGGTCCCCATCCCTCTGTCTAGATAAGGGGAACGGGGACTCAGAGAGACAAGGGGACTGGCCTGGGGCCATGCCGCTAGTGAGGTGGTGGGGAGCAACCATGTAGGTCCTGTCTCATCCCCAGGCAAACTGTTGGCTTGCTGCTGCTAAGCAGTGCTAACAGACCGCTATCCTTGTCCTAGACGTGGGCAAGGAAGAATCAGACCGAAAAATCATGATTCTAAACTGAGAATGGAGGAAGCAAAGTAGTTCCTTCCCATCCTAGGTGCTTGACGGGGGGGAATCTGGGGATCTAAATGAGGGCGCGATCTGGATGACTGGAAAAGTCCGATTCTCCTCCTCCAAAGGGACTGGTGGCAAGGCGGTCCACCACCACAGAGAGACCCAAAGAGGAACGGAGTCTCAGAACGGGCTACCCAAGGCGGGCTGGCACACGTGACGGCCTCGAAAGGGCTCCCACAAGAACGCGAAGGAGGTGACAGCCCCCGCGGCCCACCCTCCCACCTAGTCCTGAGCCCCGGCCACCAGACCTAGACCCCCGGAGCAGCCAGATACGTGCCAACTTCGGCCAATCCACTCACTGACAGGGGATGCGGCCAATGAGCTCCGGAACGTGGGCCTCTGCCCGCCCCTCCCTCATTCCGCAGCCAATCGAGCACCAGGCCGCTCAGAGCCGCCGCACCGTCCCGGCCCCAATGGGGTGCGAAGCCCCCCCTCAACGAGC